ATTTTCCCAAATGCAGTAAAAGTGGCCTTGCTCACCTCCTAACACTCAATAGCATTAACTTTTTTTTCTCTCTCTCTGGAGAAACAGGCCTGGATTTTCCCTACCACATCAAACTCTCAGTGTAGAATCATGTCTCCAGGGAAGCAGAGAGTAGTCTAACATCTAACCAGATGCACCTAAAAATCATAGAAATAAAAGCAAATGCAAATTTTTGCTTGTTGTGCCCGAAAAACTGCAGGCCACGCTGAGGTTCCACCTGCAGATCTCCAATGTCAATTGGCAGGTGCCATCAACTAAAACAGGCATCTGGGAGCAGATTAACATCATGCAGTGAGTCAGTTGACTACATCACCAGCTCCAAAGCTGGGAGTAATACAGAGCCATTAGGGACTGGGACTTATTATCTCGGGTGGAGTACCAATAACCTGTCCTTTATTTCAAGAGTCACGCTAGTGTCTCCACATGGCTCTGTGCTGAGTGGATATACCAGTTTGATTTTCTGCACTGCGCTCTACTGCGGGCTGTAGGTCTTGCTCTGAGGGTGCATGTAGGGTCTGCCTCTTGTCCGTTTTTTTACTTAGGAAGGGTGTGTGTCCAGGCAGCTTCAGGAGAGAAGGGGATCTGCAGGACAGGTGATAGGCTTTGCTCTTTACTTAGATAGCGGTCTAGCTCACATGAAGGAATCCATCTCAGTTTAAATGCCCTAGGGTGTCCTTCCAGGTTCCTGCAGACCCCATGCCTCAGCCTCATGCTGATGTCTCAGGTGCCTGTTGGGTATCTCAGGTAGTACTAGACACTTACGTTAAGGCAAATGGAAGTAGTTAGATGGAATTCACCTGGCAAAGATATTTTCTAGGTGTTGAAGAAAGGAGTGGGTTACATGCAGTATGCTCAGGTCATTTCAGAGCTCTTACGTCTGTGATTTAAGGACATTATAGTTAGAGCATAATCTGGCCCTGCTATATTGATTTCTCTGTGAGTGAAAGAAACAATCTTGAGGGACAGCACCTGCATTTGTCAGTGCAGGGGTGACATTGGTACCCAGGCGAGACTTTCTGAAAGGGCTGTCTCACTGGTAACCACTAGAGGTTGATCAGGAGCTGTGCAAGTTGTGTCCGTCCATAGTCATGTCTGCCCCTGTTCCCTAAGCAGGGTCCTCTCACGTGGGAAGGTCAGTCCCAGCATTGAAAGGAAGTATATTTACAGAAGTTTCTTCTCAGCACAGAGAACCAGATGTTTCAGTCCAGGCAGCTGGAGACTCATCTTGTGTCTGGAAATCTGTGAGGGGGCAGCATGCCCCACGAAGGCAGAGGTGGATTATCAGGGTGACTGGTGTGAGATGCTATCGACCCAGTCTAGGTAAAGGCTGTGTCTCACCTACAGCACAAAATCCCATACAAACATGTTTGCATAATAAATCACACATGCAGACCCATGTTTGCCACGTCTTGCTGGAGCGGTGTTTCGTTTCACCCCAGAGTTAAAGGCTCTGCTGGTTTGGAGGAGGGTCATTCCCCACCATCATGGGCAGTGGAGGAGGGAAAGCTGGCTGTGGTTTTTGCTCTGAGTCCAGCTCCCAGAGGCTCTGCAGATCCTGTACCATTAAACATAGCTAAGCTCATGAGCTACACTTGTGTTGCTATTGTCTTTGTGGCTGTTTTTATTGTTAATACCTTGGCTGCTGCTATTATGTCTGGTGTTTTTAGCATGAAAACAGCATTAGCTGAACAACCTCAAGACAGCAGAGGTTGCCAGATTGAGAAACCCTCTGATGCTGGGAAACAAAGAGAGCGTCTCTCCCCACCTCAGGGCTGTGACCTGTGTCGGCTTGGGGCCACAGAAACCCACACAGCCCTGTGGCTGAGTGATGACCATGATATGTACAAGCACTAACAGCGGGTGTTTGGGTTTGATTGCTTTATTTCGAAAACCACACCTGCTGAAGGTGAGAGCCTAGGCGTTGGACAAACAGGCTGCTTGAAAATACTTAGCCACTAGAACAGGGGGATAACAGCTGGTGTTTTGGGCATTCTTCAGTGCTCTAAATCATTTGCAATATCAGTGGTTTCCTGTGACATCAAGCCTTTAAACATTGCCTGATTGCCATAAACTGCAGCCCATCCAAATTTCTGTTCGCGGCTACACCCAAGCCACAGCTCATTTGAAAAGCTGCTTGTGCAAAAGGCGTGGACCGGATAGCAGCCAAATAACCGATAGATGGGGGTGACACAGAGACACCTAGTATAGGTGCTCAGCATTGGCATAGAGGGGTCCATGTGATTTCTTCCATTGAATTTCAAGAGAAACGATGGCAAATAAGATAATGAGTCAAAGGGAGGAAGTGAGAGCAGAGGCTAAAGAAAAGTGTGTGAGAGCGAGCTCTGTGGACTGCTCTGCCTGCGCCAAGAGCTGGGGAGAGTTTCTGTCAGCTGGTTGGGAAAGCCGAGCAGCTGGAGAGCAAACTACCGTCCTGCCTGCCTGTCTGCGTGTCCGCAAGCAGCACTGCCCTCTTTTGGGTGGAATTAGAGCTGTGCATCTGTTTATTTACCAGCACACGCTGCTGGGTCACGTCTGGCAAACGAAGAGGCACTGCTCCTGCAGCGATGCCGATAGCGATCCGCCCATGGCTGAAGCAGAGAGAGTGGAGTGGTGGCGCGCGACCGAGGGGCCGCCACGCTCGGCAAAGGTGCCCTTTGGCTGCGTCGTCGCTGTGCATGTGCAATTGCAGGTGTGGCTCATCTATGTGACCGTGAAGTCTGAGTCGGCTGTCACTCTCTCTGGCTCTTTGGGTGACCTGCGCGACCAAAGCCAGGGCTCCTTTAGGTAGCACTTTTCTCCCTCTTTTTGGGTCTAGGAGCAGCTGGGTCGGTGCTATTCTGTCCAGTCGGCTCTTGCTGCCGTGCAGAAGGACTCAGGGAATCACTGAACAACTTTTGGCTCGAGCCTTGCCACAAGCAGGTAATTATTTCAGGTGGCGAACGCCGATGCCAAGGTCTGCTGAAAACAATGCACCCGAGAACTTTGCCATGGAGGAGCTGATTTTTGTTACGTTAGGGCACAGTGCGGTTTGAGCCGAGCACTTCACTTCAGGCCAAACGTTCTGCTGGAGGGCTCCTCCACAGCTGCAAGCACTATTGTTAACAGAGACATAAATTAAGGATACGGGTCAACCTATTGGTTCAACATTTTTGGTGGCCTGTGTCCAGCTACAGTCAGATCTTGAAGGACACGTGTAGTGGTGCTATTTGTCTTAGACAAGAGAAAGCATCCCTTTGAGAAGCAGCTCATGCCCCCAGAAGTATCTGATTACACTTCATTTAGCTTCGACGGCTACAGAACTTTATCATGCCGGGTCACAATCTCACAAAGTCCTCATTGTGACCTAGGCATAGGATCTGACTTGATGAGTGACACTTTTTTTAAGACCAACTGTTTCATTATGAAACTTCTGAGATTGGGGAAAAAAAAATCCCAAACAAATAAGAACAGGCCACTATTAAAAAGACCATTGGTGCATTTTTACATATCCTCCTTGTAGCAATTGTGGCTGTGTGTAAAAGGCAAGCATGCCTTGTGATCGTGAGAGAGTGGTTAAAAAAACATGAGTCACACAGTCAAATCTTGTGACTTGGTAGAACTAAGAAGGTCTCCATAAAGGCAATTTGTGGAAGAATTGGAGAGAGACACAAATTTTCAAGGTCAGCCAGAGGCTAATGAGCACTCTTTCATAGTGTGATTGTATTGCCTGAATTTCTGTATTTCAAAGCCAGTCTAACTACTTTATAGCTGAAGTACTGTAACTGAAGAGGCTGTAATAATATTGACGAGTAATCCTGCCAGAATCCGGGATGGTATTCAGCATAATATGAAACATTTTCTCCTTGCCTGGTCGAGTATGGAACAAAGAGTTAAACAAATGCGTGGTTCCCGTGAGTACCACTTATCTTTCTTCCCAAAGGGCATGCATGCAGATGCTTTGTAAGTTGGGTTGTCAACAGCTAAGGCTTGTGGCCAGATTCACATGTTCTCCACCTTTTTGCCTGTGAGCTGCAGGAGACTCATCTCCAGAGGGACAGTTTTTCATAACTTAATTAGATTGGCGCCATTCACACAGCTACAGTTTCAGGTTGGCTCAGCTTTTCTTCTGCTCTAACTCTCTAGTTCAAGGGATTACAGTAGCACTGAAATTGGTTCTGAACTAAACATTTGGCAACTTCTCCAGGTCAAGGAGGTAGTTCTTCTTGTTGCTGCTATTACTAAATTAAAAATAAATAAATAATCAACGTGTGGCCCTTAATGAGAAACTAGGAATGAGAGACAAATTTTTTTGCAGTGCTTTGGTGTATAGGTAGGTAGGAATCGATCACATTTTTTTTTCCATGCAAGAATTACTGTAGTCTAATAAACCATTTAAAGCAGAATAAACTCCAAATGCACCCTCTTAGTATGGGTTTACACCATGATTTCTTCAGTGTAGCTTTAATCAGCCGGGGATCCAGTCAAACTTAACCAAAAGTAAGTGAAAGTAGAAGTGTTTCCACTAGCGTTTCTGGTGGTTTAAATGAACCTGTTTAGAAATGAATTAAAGTAAAATCACTGAGATTCTTAGAACAGAAAGTCCTTAGCCTTGACCGGGAGGTATATTTCATACCTTTCATACAAATAGCAGTTGAAGAAAAGGGAGATTCGCAAGCAGCAAGAGTAGACTGGAGGAAAAGAAAGAGTAGGGAGACCTTTCCAAGCTCTGTGCATAAAATGGGTCTCTCCCGCCTGTAACGTGCAGATGTTCATTACAGCAAATATTCTATAGAGTATTTGGGCTCACTTCCTCTCCATGTGATCCACTGGACCCCCACCACCACCCAAGTCCTCAGCATGGCTGATACTGCCCGTGGGCCCACTGAGGTGGTCAGGTTTTACCTGAGCATGTGGTAGCCGTGTAACTACACGCCTGTGGCTTCTTCACCAGCTGCAGTGATGGATTGTAACCCATTCCTAGCAAGCAGTTTTGAGCAAATCAGCTAGTAAATGGCATTTTAACAGAAGCCAGATGGAATAAATTAAAAGGAGTCTGGCAAACCCTGTGCGAAGGAGGGAATATAAGTATCTGCAGGGATGGCGAAGAAAGATGACTCCCAGTAGAGAGCTAATAAGAGCAACAAATATGAGTCTTTACCTCACTTATAAATGCAAAGAAAACAAACAAATCCACAATCCAAATTTTCTCACCTGAATGTAAATAAACCTATTAGACCTTGCTCTGTCCTGCCCAGGATTTTTGATGCAAAAAATGCTTCCTGACACAGTGCTTACAAGATTGGTTTTATCTATCTTCTGTAAATACTGATTATTCTGTGGCTTTTCACCTTCTCTGTGATGTGAGCCATTTGTGAGAAGGACGCCAACTATGGAAGTAAGTTAGCTGCCTTGTCTGTGATATTGAACAAATACGTTATAAGCAGATTCAAGCCTGTGCTTCATGGCAACCTGTCCGGGGCAAGTGCTCTGTTGAGCGTCTGAATGTTATAGGTTGTTGCTGAGTCTTCACAAATGGCCAAATGCGTCATCTACACCGGTCTCTGAATGCCTGACCTAAGGCAAGAAAGCCTGTTGTGCTGATTTGTCTGTCCACTGGAAGTGAGTATTCCTGCTACCCAAAGGCAGAAAATCACTTACCTGGCACACACCTGGTCTCCCCAAGATCCCTCTGCAATCACTGGAGAGAGAGAGAGAGCAAGATGGGCCCCTCCAGTGGGTAATTCAAACCAGGACCTTAATTTAGCTACATCGCGTCGTCCTCTGCAGGAGATTTTGTCTTTCTCCATGGACCGAGGAGAGGCTGGAGAGCCTGGCTGAGCAACTTGGCTGCCTGCGGTTGGTGTTGTGAATTCTCTGCTTGCTGAAGCCAATGAAAACATGAAGAAACAGAGCTATCTGTGACCTCTCTAAGTAATTTATTCACCCTCATTCTTCACACTTGGTGCCAACTTTCTCATTTGATCTGGCTGAAGTTTGCCTCCTTGAACTGTTGTTATGGCTTTCCCTGCTAGACAGAGAAAGATTTAGTAGTGACGGTTTCCTTCCTTCGCGCTGAAATCAAGGCGTCTGAATCTTCTTTGTGATGACAGGAATAAACGCATCCCTCTTAAAATCTGTCACTCAGATGCAGTCTTGCCATTCACTGTGTGGCTTTTTTGGCAGGTTTTTAAACACCCCTTTGGAAAACCCAACTTCCAGCCACAGCCAGTGCTGCGGGCCAGCCTCACCGGTGCAGATTGCAAGATGATAGCGCCCCGCTTCTCCTGCAGAGCGCTCCTCGCCCAGGGCAGAAGGATATCACCCTCGGCGCTTTCCACTTACCTACAACCAAACGCCTATTACAGAGCAATATTTCTGAAGCAGAGCTCTTTTCAGGAGGCCTCACGAGAACTCTCTGGCACATCTCTCAGGCAGAGGACTATGCTGCTGAATTTAAAAATTTGTCCTTGCTCGCTAATGGACTTGAAAGGTAATTTGCCTTCTCATATGAATTATGTTCCTTGTCACTTCTTTTCTAGTACTGAACAGAAGTAATAGGTAACTATTTCTGCCTTTCTGCATCAATATTACTAGTTTCGCAATTGCTGTCTGTCACTTCTAGGGTTATTTTTCTGTTCTTAATGTATTTTTAAACCCCATGTTCTTATTAGGAACTCCAGTAGAAGATTATTTCCACGAAGGCCCCCAGCTTCCGTCACTACCTTTCTGCATTTCATAACGTCTCATAAGTATCTTTACTTTTTCCTCCTGCCTTGTTATCTCTTTATTTAGTAGTTTCCAATTGCTGCTGAATTTGGATGAGTTTTTAGCTTAAGCTCTAACTTGATTGCGGAATGGAGGGAGTGGTCAGGAAACGAATAGTTTCTCTTTTTTTTTATTATACCTGTACTATTTTTGTACATATTTCTTCTGTTCAGATTTTTCATCCTAACTAATTTTGCTTACAGTTTTCAGGAACTTTGAGAAACCTTTTTGATGCAACAGTTCTGTATACTAATTACTACTTGTGAGCCTCCTCTCTTTGCCCATATAGAGTGTGATCCGGCCACAATCGATAGTCCCTCTGCAACCAATCACTTCCAGTCCAGGAAGTAATCAGTCGTTACCTGCCATAATGGGGTCTGTAGTAAAGTTACTTCCTTTTGTATGCAGTTGCTTCTTTATTCTGTACATAGTATCTGTTAGTTCTAGAAACTCTAGACTGTTTTACCACTGGATCAGAGGGACCTCAAGAATGTATTTCTCAAACTAAAGTCACCTGTAACAACCAACACCCCTTTGCCTTTCCTATGCGAAAGACAGGTGATGAAGGAATGCATCCTCTTCTTTTCCTTGGCCAAGTGATCTTGAGAGCTCCCCGTGTTTCCCCCTGGGCTTCATGTATGAGAGCAGAGTCACACAAGCTGAAGACCCACAGTCTCAGTGAGTATCAAGCAATCGGTAGGCTACAGAAGGCAACGGCACCCACAGCACCTGTCTGATTGCTTCTTTCCTTCCTGATGAGATTACAGTATCCTGGTGTTTGAGTTTTTCCAGTCCAGCCAAGCTACTGCCATTTCTTTACTGGTTCCTCTTGCCAGTTATCCCAGCTCCTGAAGTAGATATGTAAGCAACTGAAGAAATTGTTCATTCTTTGAATTCCTTATCAATCAGCTCAGTTTGATTTGTTTTTGTCATGCTAAATTCAAGATTCCTCTGTACCGGCCTTAAGTTGCTAGTTAATATCAACCAGCAAAGTCACCCAGGAAGATTCGAGCCCCTTGGCCTGAGATGCAAGTTCTCCCATCCAATTCTAATGTTGCAACGTGTGCTTGACCACACAAATACCGTCAGCTTCATGCCAGTCAACACAGCCTCAATATTTTCTGCCATCTCTATTCTCACACCCAAAGAACCAGAAATCTTTGTCAATGCTGTTTGGGTATTTTTCTTCCTCATCCCCACTTCTGGCGTTCCTGCACACTTCTGCACGGTAGGTAGGTCTAGATGTCGTCCCAGTGCACAGTGAAAGGACTGGAGATTTCCTCCGCGTCCCAGCCAGTCTGGCCACTCTGAGGATGCTATACCACTGTGCTATAGGAGGCATGCTATACCACCAGCCTCACTTCTCAGGCTGATTTCTTCATGCATTGGTGTTCAGGCAGGGCTGCCGATGACAACTAATTGCCCTTGGAAGGCGTAATTGCTTTTGCCATCCTGATCACTGGTTGCTTCAGGTATGGGACTGGCAACCAGCAGGAACGGTCTCTGGAGCGCCTGTTTGCCCATTCTTGCACTGTGCAAGGATTTGAGGAGACCCTCAAATTCTGCTGGCTACCCCAAATGCTCTCTGATTTTTTTTTTTCCTGCCTGAATCATAGGATACCTTTAACACAAATAGCTGTGATGCTTTGATAATGCAAAACAGTAAATGCCATAGGTGGCATGTTTTTGAGGTTTCTCTCCTGTTTTTCTGACTTGCTACCTTTTCACCATCCCATGTGGCTGTGCAGATACCCAACAGCAAAAATGCATGGGATTTTTGGGCAGAAACAAAAATGCCTAAAGAACCTGAACAGCTTTGTTGCTGGACAAAAGACAGCTAAAAGGCTTGCTAAACTGCATTTCTAAATGAATGTCTTTGTACATTCAGCTTCTAAGCTGCTGTGAAAGACTCAATCAGTACCGCCTTTCAACATTTTCACATCTTTAAAAGTCCAGCCCTGAAGACTTGAAGTTTCGATTAGACTGCTTTCTAGCATGGTGATGAACATGCTACTGCAATATTTATATATATTTAAGCTAATCCAGTTGTAGAATAAGATTTTGCCTCACATATATTTTAATAAACCTCTGTAGCCAAATAGAACTTTAATTTAATTGCAGCAACTTATAAGTGACATTGAAAGGAAAGCATATATATGCTTTGTTTAAAAACAGCATGACCAAGTATTTTATTGATTTTTAGCTCTACACAGGTATTTCTCTGAGTCACGTATACTTTAAAATCACAGCTGAAATTGTTGATTTTTTCTTTTAAAACAGGTTAGCAGTTTTCTGCAGTTGTTTCCATGCAAGTGATGCTAGATGTGAATATGATAACCCAACTGTAAAAGGTCTGTAACTGTCTAGAAAGGGAAACAGTAAACTGCATTTTTCTGGTGGAGTCTGGTTTTGTATAAGTTTCTCTGTCCATCTCTCAAAATTGCATGTTTCTAGTGAGGGCTGCATTTTTTTAAAGTGAGTAATGGTTTTTCATGTCTCCATTTTGTGTACCCAACTTTATGTATTTTAAAGAACCTCATTAACTGTCTAACTTCTTGCACTCAGATTGTTTTAAAATGTTGCAGATTGTTTCCCAGAACAACTGAAGCAATCAATAGCTATTAGCTTTTGTTTTTGTTTTTGTTTTTTAATCAGGCCCCGTTAGAAGCAGGTGAACACTTTTGTTTTTCATTCTTGTTTGAAATGAAGCCAGCTATCAAAATCTGGAAATCCTTTGCAGGATAGGACTTCCATTCTTCATGCAGCAATCTCTGGTTACTTTATCACGAGTGCCCGAGATGAAACCGTGAAAAGCAGACAAAAATAAAAACACTAGAAAAAAGAATTGTACTTTTCACACTGTTTTAACCATTGACAAGTTATGCCTACAGACAATGGATTTATGTGATTTATCTTTAACCTGACTTTGTCCTCTTAAGCATAATACCTGGCGAGTGCCTTAGCACCTGGGCTCTAAAACGAATCACTCGCACTAGCTTCGGAAGTAAACCTTCTCAAAGAAAGAGCAGCAATATCCGGCTGGCCATCAGTTTCTATTCTGTTCAGCCTCAGCTGATATATTTCATATGGTTTTTTTTCAGCTGAAGCTGGGCCAGGACTTCTCGAGCTGTGACAGAAGGGCTAAATGAGTGGAGGGAATTTTATGTGCCTCTTCCCACCGCATTCCAGTAACCATGCAGGAAGTCATTGATCAATGGGATTTAAGCAACATGCACAAGAAAGGTACGTGTGTGTGGCCCAGTGGCCTTTCTAGCATGTGCTATGACGACACCACCGTCTGATTCAATAAACGGAGGGATAAGAGGCTAGGTGGTAAGCCGCACACACACCAAGTTTATGATGCATCTCTGTAGCTGAGCGTATGCAGTGTGGTCTTTTTTTAAAGCCCGTTCCATACTGCTGCATGTTTCTTACTAACACTATGGTTTAGATGTGGTCATAACAGAGAGAGAGGTCTTCCTGGAAAATTGCTTAAGATGCTGTCACAAGCATAGGGTAAGTTCCCTGACCCAGTGGCTCATGCTTCCCCGGGAATAGGAGTGTGTTGACCTCTGGCAGATCACTTAGGTTTATTTTATCATCATGATTTGTATAGCTTCTTGGTACCATAAGTCAGGAGAAGATCTGAGAAGTCATGTCAGCCACTAAGCAGAGTAAAATGCGTTAAAGCCACACAGACAGGGAGAGTGAAGTAGCTGGTGTGCCTGCATACATGAGCTGGAGTTGTTAGCACTGATGGTTTCACAAAAGAGCTCTGCCCCAAATGAAATCAAGCTCGTTCCTAGGGTAACTTTACTGACCTCACTGGAGCTGCATGGGAAGGGTATTTATTATGTGGTCATACTGTGTATGCTGTGGATATAGAGAGCAGGCAAAAAAATATCCCCTCCCCCACAGAAAAACAAAAAAAAAATCCCCAAACCTCAGCTTTATCCAGTGAATGTTCATAATTTCTCTGTAATTGCTTTAGGGCGTTAAAATTGGCATGCAGAGGTCCTCCGGGCCTGTACCTGCCTGTATTGTGTCAGGAGCTCTTATAGAGCAAAGGACACTTTGCAGCAGCAGTTTATGTGTATTAGCGCAGCCACCAGCTAAAACCCAGCTGACAGTTTGATTTTGCCTTTTTTCTGTGCCTCAGTTTCCCCATTTGGCCACATTACACTGCTCAGCGTAGGATGCAGCTGTGACGGGGAGA